ACAAATAATCAGAACAATCAAATGCAGCTAAAAGCACAACCACAACGCAGTGAGAGAGCATGCAGACGTCTACACAAACACTCACTTCAGCAGCTCCAGTGTCATGGTGCCTTTAGGCTCGGCCTCCACACTTTTGCCCCAGAACTTGAGTTTCGGGTAGATGGAGCCGTGAAACTCAAACTCTTGCTTCAGAGACTGGGCATGGAAGGCACTGACGGGGGGGTGGTGGCTCACCTGCTCCGAGATCAATCTGTATCCTTCGTCCTCTCTTTAAAACAAAAAACAAAACTCACATCAATGAATAAATAAATAAATAAATGTTGGTTCATTTATCATCAAGACATAACTTCTATAAGTGTCTCCGATACCTTATGAGCTCATATGTCTCCCCCAGTAAAGGATTAAATGGCTTTCCAGTCCTTTCCCATTGAGATGCTACAGCCGAAACAGCAAACGCAGCAACAACCTGCGACAGAGACGTGAAGTGAATCAAAGCAGAGCGACTGACAGGAAATTACTCATTGGTTATATTGTTATAACATTCCCTTGTTCTAGCTTCTCAACAGTCATGATTTGTACACTTTCTTTATCTTACATGATAGTAAAACTCCGTATTTTGGGGGTTTTGGAACGTTGATCGGACAAAACAAACATACATCAAGAGGTTAACTTGGTTTATAGGACATTTTATGGGTCATTTTCACTGTTTTCAGACATTAATAATAATAATAATGAGACCAAATAATTCAATAATTGGTAGATTGAGTGTCATAGTAAGATCTGTTACCGTCCTCTGTCTAGGTGTGTTTAGATCAGAGCTCACGTAGGCGTAAATTAATTTCAAAGAGAAACAAAAATAACCAGAAAATCTAACAAAAAACACAACTTCAAAGTGGATCTTTATCTCTACCTGCATGCGGTCTATGGAGTCAGACAAACTGCAGGCTCTGTGAATGAGGTGAGTGTGTTCCATGTACTCCGAGATTCTCTGGAGAAAGCTCAGCGGCTCGTTAAACACGACCGGCATCGCTATTTTGGACAGCTCCTGTAAGAAAACATCAAAGAGCAAAACAGATGAATGAGCAGCAACGAGCGAGCTTTTACACCAGATCGAGATTCAACGCGTGACACTGAATACCTTCCTCCAACAACTCATCCGTCACATTATTGAACTATTACGCAACAACAACAACAAAAAAAGAAGGGTCACAAAAACATGTTTTATGTTCTTTGTGTTCTGATGTTTCATTTAAGCTATTTTGGTCCTTTCAGATGGATGCAGATGCAAAAGAAAAATGCCATTTCCCAACCAATTACAGCGAGCTGAGCACAGACATGACTTATCTTGCTGAAACATGCAAGTATTTAATTATTTAAAAAAAAAAGACACATATCACAGTAGAATCTGACTACAGCTCGTCTGAATTCAGATTAAACTGCTTGAGTTGCTGCATAAGAACATCAGCTTTTGCATAACTTTGTCTGTTTCTCCTAGTTTTTTTTGGTTAGGAAGCAGGTAGGACTCACCATGCCGATGCATTTCTTCAGTATGCTCCAAACACTGAAATTGTTTCTGGAGATCATTTCAGCAGGCAGAGTTTTCCTGGTGCACATTTGGACCAAATAAGATGAAAATCAGCAGGCACAAACAACAAACGAGCCAGAACAGGATGTACTACACAGAAAATCCAGATTTTAAAAAAGGGGGAAACTGTGCTATAACTACACCAACAGCAGCTCTGCAGAGGAGGCGCTAAATAAAATGTGGTTGCACTGGACTTTGCATGCTTCTACGTGTGGATGGAGAAACCCCTCAAACACCCCCCCCCCTTCCCCTCAACCAGAGACAAAATGTGGTCATGTGGCAACACGACCAAATGCATGCATGCATACCACACTTGCACTCACCTGCGCTCCCACACCCCATTCTCCTGTGCGGCGCTGCCCTCAGTCACCTGCGTGCTGTCAAACACCAGGGCATCCTTAAAACTGACCTCGCAGGAATCATCTGACTCCAGCCCTGAGGGGAGACAAGAGGAGGGAGGGAGGGAGGGTTGAGAGAGGTGCACGGGTATATTTAACTAATAATTTAACTACTTTTTGTTGCCCCCCTCCCTCCTCACCTGTCTCAGCGTCGTAAAACTCCTCCTCGCTGTTCATACTGAGCAGAGAAAGTAACTATGCGTTACTCAGAAGTCATGTTTCCACCATCGGCCTGTCCCTGCAGCCCAGCCTCTCTCCAAACATCACAGACAGCCAAAAGCAAAACAACCTGCAAACAACCACGGACACCGAGCAGAGGAGGGGGGGGTCGTTAAGAGCCAAACATTATCTAATGCATGCAATAAAGTAAACATAAAACAGCTTTTTAGCTCGCTGTCAGTCGCTCTGCTAACCCTCCTCCTCCCCTCCCACTAACAACAACAAACAACAACAACAACAAAAAAAAGAGCTTTAGCTTTAGTTCACTAGCTATCTGGCTAACTAGCGGTTAGCATCGCTGCTGTAGTTGAGTTAAAAACGTCCGTTTGAGGGGGGCAGCAGAGATTAGCTGACGTTAGCGAACACAGACACCGGCGCGAAAAGGTTTAACCACGATTCAATCCGATGTACCTGCGGGTTAAGGTCAAATTACTGCGCTAGCAACGTAAACAATCGGAGGAGAGTACACTGCCGTCTGGAACAGGGCGGAAGTGGGCGGCAAGGACACCGTGATTGACAGCTCCCGACAGCCAATCAGATCGCAGCCTGCGGCGGTCTAGAAATAGAAGTGAAAGAGTAGAAGTCTATTTTCAACCATTGACACTTTATATAATATTAATAATGTGACTCTTAAATGGGTAAATTAATGGATTGTTATCATTTATTTATATAGATTGTTCTCTTAAATGGATTTCAAAGACAGTTTTGGGGTTTTAAAGGAAGGAGAAAGTCCTTTTAAAATGTACAATATGCCATCATATGTACCATCATACTGCTTAATATGTTTTTAAAAAGGAAAGTAAAGTGGTGTAATGTAAGTTGTTGTTTCCTCTACCTTAAGATGTCACTGATTTTCCCATTCATAATAATGTAACTTAGGGGCTTTGATTTGTGACACATTATGTGTATGTATTATATTATATGGGATTTATAAGGGGTTATATGGGGTTTGAATCACTTAAAATTGACCCAAGAAACCATGAAAACCTCCTAAAAGGCTCTTCAAAGGTAAACATTTAGGCATGGGATTGTTTGGATGTTTTTTACTTCTTAAAAACCCTGTAAACTATACATATAATGCATTTATTATTAACATTTCATTCTTAAAATCCAATTCCAATTAGCCTAATTGCATCATCATAAATAGAAAAAATACACTGGCACTTTAAGGTAAAACAAATTAAGGAATTCAGTTTTAAAGTTAAAGCTGTCTGAAATCTGCCACTGACTTTCTATTGAGAAAAAAAATGGCATATAAATTGTAAGTAATGTTTTTCTTAATGGTGAATAATCCCTTTGATTGGTGTTTATTCTTTGGAAGTGGCAAACAAATGATGACCCATTAATAAAGTGTCTTACTTTCTAATAAACCAACAAGTCTGCGAGACATTAATAAAAGTTGTTTTTACAATAATCTGTGAAGTCTGCAGATGTTAATGTTAATAAATCTTGATGGTGGTCGATAAACATCAGATTTTTCCCAACCTGGCAACCTCAGAGTTGATCAATAATAACTGATGATGACACAATAGGAGATGATTTGTCTTCATTGTCATTAATGGACATTGTTGTACATTGTTGTAGTATTGAACTTGCACTAAGGAGACAAATGTTTAACAGTTCTGCTCATTTTATTGGACAGAAAGAATATTTCACCCTCATGTTTCTTTATGAAAGTGATATTCTTACTCAGATTTTCTCACCACATGTGGCGGTTCTTTAATATTTTTCTATGGTTGAGCAATCCCAAGTTCCTCTTGTGTTCCTCGACACTCCTACTTCAGTGTCCAATAGGCGGACGGGAGGTGAGCGTGAAGTAAAAAACTAAATCTATAAATGACCTGAATCCTACTCTGACCTGGTGGTTAATGTTTGAACTGATTAAAGTCTGTGTTAGAGTCACATCACTCCAGGACCTCACGAAGAAATAAATAAAATAAATAAATAAACTCCATTTACAATCCATCTCCACTTGAGACATCAGTTCTATTTAATTAATGAGTGCTTCAGTAATCCACCAGGTGGCAGCTTTATACCTCTAATCAATTAACCCTGAAATTAACCCAACATTTAAATGTATTTTATAACCAATTATAAACACAAATATTATGTTTAGGTTAGTCTGATGTGTTTTTAGTGTTTTACTATTTGATGTTGTTTTGTTGCTTTTATGTTTTTATGTAAAGTGTCTTTGAGAAAAGCGCTTGTTAATAAAATGTTATTATTATTATTATTATTATTATTATTATTATTATTATTATTATATACGGCTAATATCTAAAACATAATAAGAATGACATTAGAAGTGACAAATGTGAATATTGAACATGTTTGCTACAGGATGTGTTCAGAGAGAAAGTTTTAATATCAGCCCAGTAAATATTGAATCAAGCTGCTGGTTGTGTAAATAAATAGTTGGACACTCAGAGGAATAAATGGGAAGTTGTTTAATTGTTTGTCAGATTTCTGAAAGAAGAAAATGGAAACTGTGAACATCAACTTCATGTTAAATCACACAGAGTCACAACAAGACCGGAAACACATGTGATTTGTAAAATAAAAGTGCAAAAATAATTGTCCACATCTTCTCGATGGGGAGCTGGGAGTTAGAAGGGGGAGAAAGGCTGGAATAAAGTCAGAAAACAAATAGTCTAAGTCTGTTTATTCTATTTATATATTCATAATTTAAGGGATGTTTTACAATCATTTGCATTTATTGATAACAGATTATTATTATTTTTTTAAATAGAGACTGTTTGGGAAAGATGTAAAATGTCAAACAATAAACTGCATTTTCGTCCAGGTTAAATAAAAGGGTTTTATTTTGTTGACCGGAAGTCATGCGTTAATCAGACCCTGCTGGTTGCTGTCTGCCCTCTTTCTGTGCGCATTTTGGCAAAGTTTCAGTCTCCGGGATGGAGAGCATCCAGTCGGATCTCTTCCGTGAGCTGTGAGCTGTGGACTTGAGGAGCTTTTTAACCTATTTTTGAACCATTATGATCAGTTTGAGCTAAGAAACCTGATAAGACACCTGATAGAGTCGTGGACAATCAGTCAGGATGAACAGAGACGCAAAGACTGCGCCCCGCAGCCAGAAACAACCCAGGACGCACCAGCAGGTTCCTGTCCAGAAGAGGAAGAAAGATCCGTCTTCTAAAGACACTCAGAGTGGTTCTTTATCCAAAGACTCAGCTCAGTCTGACTCTGGGAAGGAGGTGAAATCTGCGGCACTGCAGGGAAAACGACCGGTGAAAGTGGCACCGGTTGTCCCCGCGGAGGGCCAGAGGAGCCCCGGCGCGCAGAGGAAACTGTCCGATGCCAGCAACGCTTCAGAGGACTTGAGCAAAGACTCCGGGTGCCTGTCTGGGAAACTCTCCTCCTCAGACAGCAGCTCGGAAATATCCGATTGCCCCTCGGAGGGCAGCAAGCACGACTCTCCGAGCTGCGACAATGAATTAAGCTGGATAGACGCGGCAGCTTACGTGAGCCCGGACAGCGAAGGGAAAGGAGACGGCGAACAGTGCGCAAAGGCAGCGACGGATAGCTGCGCCCCGACGCCTGATACTGCTGGAGGGGGTGTCAGCTTGTTTAACTCCTCTGGGTCGTTTATGGAGCTGATGATGGGAGAGACAACCGAGGATCTTTCCAGGGAGGTGGATGATTTAAGATCAGAAAACGAGTATTTGAAAGTAAGTTTAATTTGGTTTTTTTTTTAATTCAATTTAGTTTATTTTCAGGCTGTTTGTTAATATTTGGGTAGTTTTTTTGTTTTTTTTAAATCTAAATGTCCACATATCTGTGTGTTGCTTCTTCATGAGGTCTATAAGAGGCCCTTCTGCAGAATCCAGAGCCGATTTTCTGTAAATGCTCCTGTCAGTCTTCATTAGAGACAGTAGGACAAGTGAAGCTCTCAGGCAAGAATCAAAAGTGACCATTACCATTCATGATCAGTAGCATTTTCCATGTTAAAGTGAAATAAAACGAGTGGACAACAAAGCACAATGTGAAAACTCATGAAAAACAAGACCAAGTATGTTGTGTAAAGTTTGTTTCATACACAAATGTAGATTCAAGGTGCTGTACAGTGTAAATAAAATCAACACAAATCAAAGATAAAAACAGTAGAATTATAAAAAGCATAAAAAAAAATAAATAAAAGTAAATGAAATAAAACAATAATTTAGAAGCATTTAGGTAAGATGTCTGAAGTGTGTTTAATTACAATGGTTGCCATCAGGCAGTGTCGACTTTTTATTGCCACATTTTTATTGGTGCAATTTAAAAGTATGGAAATGAGTCAATAACTCAAAACAGTGACTTGCACATTCATCACCCTGTTGCCATTTCTTTGAGCAGTAATTTAGTATAATGTACTGTGAGTGATGGAGACTGCTGCGCCTTCCATTTAATGTGTAAGACTTGCCTTATAAATAGGTCCTGCCTGGTATTCCCTATGTCACTTGAGCATTATGTGGCTGTTTTTACAGTAAGAAGAGTTAAGAGTTTAAACTAAACCAATCAGAGGGCCCAGTGGGAGAGGCTATTTTCTAAAAGAGGAATTTAAGTGATTTAGTGTTGCATTTTCATAAAGCTGTGGGACTTACAAATGAGAGTTTTAAAAAAAAAACACTGGAAACTACATTTCCCATAATGCAACTAGATCACATCTGTAATTAGGCCCCTTTGCCTCCTAAAGTGACACTTTTTTCACACTCCACAATTCCAGTTTGTTGTCTCAAGCCCAAACCATCAGATTTCCAAACTCGTAGTCTTCAGCACCAACTGATGCTGACTCAAGTGACATCACTTGAGGTAACCTTTCACGCAGCTCCCTCTGGAGCCACAGGACGCTCTACTCAACATTTTCTCATGTGTAGTAGTACTACTCCCGAGTTTCTCCAGGAAGTTGTGATGTTGTGATCGCAAACAATTAACGCAAATTCAACCAACCCCCGTGAATTCTGCGTGACCTCGCTATTTTGTACAATCACCGCAACTTTCATGCAAATTTGACCAATCATAGCAAAAACTACTAGCACTTTCTCTCACAATTTCATTGCAAAAAATGCCTAAAACGTCCAGAACATTGCAATTTGTTTTTTAGAAAAGCTTTAAGTTTTGAGCTACAACAATCCCCCCAAAAAAATCCTGTGAAATCCTCATAGGGACCGAGACTCCCCAACGCCTGTAAAGAGAATTAGTAAAATCTTCTTCTCGTTCTCCTTTAATCTACTGAGCACAGACTCACAGGATACCATCTCTACCTTTTCATTCAACAAATCTTTCAAATCTGGAGCCCCAGCTGTTTTCCAATGCTACATAATTTACCTTCCATGATTAGAAAAGCACATTTTGATATATTTGGTATTTGAGAATCGGCATAAATAAGGAGTCAAAGGGATTACTGAGCCAAAACATCCATAAGTTTCACCCAGAATGGTTTCATTAAGGTGCAGTCCTGTAACATGCAATGTGAGTGGAAAAGTTTCTGGACTCAGCTCAGAGGAAAGTGAGGTGCAATAATAAAAAACAATTGTATTTTCATTCTTCAAACTTATAATGTTTTTAGTTTACAACAAGGATACCTGAATTTACAACCATAAGTAGATTTTAAAAACACATTCTGTTCCTAATAGTTGTATTTCTGTGTTGTTTGTCCCAGGATGAGGTGGAGGAGCTTCGCTGTGAGATGCTGGAAATGCGTGACATGTTCCAGGAGGAGGAGGTGTACCAGCTGCAGGAGCTGCGGCTGCAGCTGGAGCAGGCCAACAAGACCTGTCGCATCCTACAGTACCGCCTCCGCAAGGCCGAGCGCCGCAGCATCCGGGTGGCTCAGACAGGACAGGTGGACGGAGAGCTGGTCAGGAGTTTGGAGCACGATATCAAGGTCATTACTCCTCCTCCTATCTCTGTGTGCGTCTTGTTAAAACTCGCTCACCACCAACAAACAGTAAAAGCTCCCTTTTTCCCAAATTGGCTTTAGACTGAATCACTGCTGTTCCAGTTGCCAACATCAAAGTGGGCATTTTCTGTTAGTCCCACAAAGCTTTTTTCTCATGTCAGCACACTAACAGTGTTTGTGTTGTTCATATACACTGAAGGACTGTAATCAGTTGACAGCAGCCTGAGTCACGGCTGTAAAACACTCCCTGCTGTTTGTCAGCACCGCAAAACTTTCATTAGTTTGAAACGTCTTCATCATGCATCCTGTTTATATTTTCGTCATACCACGGTGTTATTATGTGGTGAGTTGTTCTCCATGAGTAGGAAACATAAAGGCACAGTAATCTTTATCAGAATCCTGGCAGGTCAATTGTTCTGTTGTTAAATGAGGCTCTGTGGTGGCAGCCAGACTCTGTTTCTTTGAGCTGGGGGTGAGTGTGTGTGTGTGTGTATGTGTGTGTGTGTGTGTGTGTGTGTGTGTGTGTGTGTGTGTGTGTGTGTGGTGTAAGATTCCCAGCAGCCCTTCATACACTCATATGGTGAATTCCTATCACAAGCATTTCCTTGTAAAGTCTCTCCGCTTTATCCAAACCAAGTGCTGCAGTTACAAAATATGTTCATGAGTAAAACCAGGACTTGAACTTTACAGAACTTGACCCTGATTGGAGTCATGGATGGATTACTGAACAGGCCTACCAGGAACAGGCAATAAAGACACAGTAAAACGACCACAAACAGACACAAAACAGCCGCAAAGAGACAAGAAACAACTACAAAGTGATGCAAATCAGCCCCAAAGAAACGCAAAATGACCACAAACTGACACAAAATGACAACAGAGACACAAAAGTATTACAAAGAGACACAAAACAACAGTAAAACTGCCACAAAGTGACACCAAGCGGCCATAATGACGATAAGAGATGCAAAATGAGCACAATCACCCTGACCTTGTTGTTTGTAGTTGTTTTGTGTCTGTTTGGATCTTATCTAGGAAGGTTGGGTGCCCAACGCCCCATTATCTCATAATCCGCCCTTGATTGGTGCTACAATAACCTGCTGTTGGCTTTGCTTACAGGTTGGGAAGAGTGTGTCCCTCCGACTGTACAACGAGCTGGAGATGGTGCAGAAGAAGAATTCCCAGTTGGAGTGGGAAAACGAGGCGCTGCGAGAGAAGACACAGGAACTGGAAGTGGCCAAGCAGGTGTTACAGGCTGAGGTGGACAAAGCCAGAGAGGTGTGACATTAATGTAGAAAGTGTATCTCTGCTCACTTTAAATCTGAATTTAACATGTGCAGGTATGAGGAGGACAGTGTGGGTATAGGAGTAGATTTTTTTGTGGTAAAACAGACATAAATTATTTCTCAAAGCAGAGTAATTTCATCTTAAAATATATTAAAACATGTCTAGAGGGAATCTTTAGTAAATCTGTACATTGGCTCTAGATATTCAGCCTAAATCTTGACAGAAACATAAGCTGCCTCCATCCCTCTGGTCAGGAATCCTCCTCTCCATTTCTGCTGCTACACAGCTGCACCCATCCCAGCCCAGTTGTCGCCCTCATCCCTCTGTCACCTCTGATGTCAGGTGACACATGACCCTGGTGCAGATCTATGATATGAGAGGAGGGCATGGCCAGCAGCTGCCTGGTGCCTGGGTAGGGTGAAGCAGCCCGGTATGCTGAAGCCTGAACTCCAGGCGCAGCTGATCTCCTCAGCTGAGCGGACAGAGAAAAGGGAGAGAGGGTGCTAGAGATTACAAAAATAGACTCTCTCTTGCTTTCTCTCTTTCTGCTTCTATTAAGCCAGGCTAAATCTGGATCAGCGTGTATTATGGCATTCAGAAAGGCGTGTGTTTGTGTGCCGACATACTGACCTACAAGCGTCCCTGCAAATGCTTTTATGAAACAGTGGCTACCACACCCTGATACTGATTGAATTTCCAGTCCACCTTTTATTCTCGCGGCCCCTCCAGCCTCGTTGGCTCCTGTGATAACAATCGTGCACTTCAGTGACACGTGTTCGGTTTAATCCAGGATTCGGTGCTTTGGCATGAGCTCAGTCTGGCCCACTCATTGGAGACAGCTGCTAGTCCCTTTGATCCCAACAGGGAAATCCACTTAGATTACCTAATCTAGGAGCACAAAACAAAGTCTAGATGGATGTAAAGGAGGATGAACATTGCAACTGGACTGTCTGTGGCTCGGTTGGTGGGACTTGAATGGACGCACAACACTCTCAGGTCATAAAATAGCTGCACATGCACAAACAATAACAAAACTATACGTGAAGACTTTTTTTTTAATATGCAACACAGTTTTTGACAATTTTCCACATCAAAAAATGTCAAAATTGATCACGCATATTTGTTACTTTGATCACATTTCAGATCACAGTATTCAGTATCTTTGCAGCCTGATCTCGAATTTAAACGACACACTCCTTATGTCCACCACTTGTAGCCTGCAGAAGATAACTATTATTAACGCTGTGACATCCAGTCTAGTGTCTAGGAGCGACACAATGGTGCCAGACAGAAGCTTACATTCCTCTCATACTCAGTCGTACAAATAAACTCACTCACTAGAGTAGGCAAGGACTCGGACTTGAAACAAAATTTGGATCAAATCACTCCATGGACGCAGTGGTGTTGTGGTGCCTGGAGAAGTAGGTATACTCTTAATTTAAGGATAAATGCTGTGTTATAAACAATGACATTAATTAAGGCTCACTCCAAAAATGGGCCAGTAGTATTTGCACATTAACTTCTTCTGCTTGACTTCAGGCAGTAAGGATTATTATGGAATTAACAGTAGCAACAGAAGAGGTGCAGATTTTGCATCAATACTGACACACAGACTACAACTAAATGCATTTATTCCGAAATTCATCCACTCATGAAAACTATGTCATGCCTTCACCATCCTACAAAAAAAAGAGTGGATTTAGAAGTGGGGTATACTCTGTATACCTGTGTATATCCTGCACTAACCACTGAATGGATGGTTATTGCATTTTAGGCATCTTTGAAAGTAGCACAAAGCATGATAAATACATTCTCACTTTCCTGCTTAGAGTTGGATGAGAAGATTGAAATCACTCACATATCTGTTTGCTCAGTATGAAGGTAAAGCTACCAGCCGGTTAGCTTAGCATAGAGACTGTAACCTGGTTCTGTCCGAAGGAAACAAAATCTGCCTACCAGCACCCTTAAAGCTCACTAATTAGCACATTATCTCTTGTTCTCTTGTGTTTAAACTGTACAAAGAACAACAGTTTTTGGCAGGTTGGGAAATTGAAATATGGAAGAGGCTGGTAGATATCAGACACAAAATGTGACCAGTCAACTTGAACAATTATCTGTCAGTGGCTGCTAGATGTTCAAATTTTAATTTTAATTTTCCACCCTGTGGTTTGGCCAATAAGACTTCAGGAAGTCACTGCCTGTGGCCAAGAAATAGTCTGGCACCTTTTGGTAACCTTGTAAAACCCCAAATTAATGGTTTAAGCGAACTAGATATAATGTCTTAATTAGTGAGCTTAAGAGGTGCTGACAGGAGGATTTTGTTACGGATACAGCCAACAGTTTTTTTGCTGTAGCTTAATACTGCACGGCAGAGGTGGCAGTACAAACACTTGTGTATAAAAGACTCTGGTAAAAGTAAAAGTACTGATTTAACTTCTTTACAGAGTAAAAATGAAACAGCACAGGCTCTGAAATGTATTTAAACTATAAGAGTAAAAAGTGCTCTTGGTTTCTGAAGGACGGCTGTTTTAAAGCTAACTGATACTTCAAACAGGGTCTAGTCTCTGTCTATAGTGTGTTTTGTCATGTTACGTCTGTCATGTGTGATTTGCAGCCGTCTTGATTTTAGGAAGGTGTGCAATGATGCAAAAACATAAGAACATCGATTCTCCTTCAATTGCATTAAAACTAAAGTAACAAAAAGTTCATACATCTGTATTTGTATATTGAAGTATCCTGTTGCAGCTGAAGTTGCCATATGCTGTATATCATATAAAGACATCTAAAATAATAATAATAATAATAATAATAATCATCATTTTGGCAAAATATTGTTTGTATTTTCGCCCTTGATAAACCTCTTTGTCGTGTCATTTTTCCTCAGAGCACTCTGAAGAAGAAAAGCATCCGATCAACAGTCAGTAAGTCTGAGAAGAGGCTCTCTCAACAGATTGAGGTACGTTTATGTTTGTAATTCATGTTTGATTTCAAACGTGGCTTCACTGATAAAAAAAAAACTGAACATTGCAGTGTACTTATGTATCATCCTCGTAAGAGCGATATTCACTGTTGGTTTTATTTTTCCCCAAAAGGATGACAGCGCCGATCTCAGGTGCCAACTCCACTTTGCCAAAGAGGAATTAGCTCTAATGTGCAAGAAGCTCACCAAGTTGGTATCAGAGAGCGAGGCCATGCGCGAGGAGCTGGCCAAATACCGCTCAGCCTATGGCGACATAGACGTCAGCCAATCGCTTGAAGGCAAACAAAACTCTGCCCACGCCAGGGAGGCAGAGGTCAAAGTTCACCTGAAACTGGTGGAAGAGGAGGCCACACTCCTAAGCCGGCGCATCGTTGAACTGGAGGTGGAGAACCGTGGTCTGCGGGCAGAAATGAGCGACCTGAGAGAGAAGATGGGAAGAGGAGGAGGGGAAGAGGAAGAGGAAGAGAATCGGGATGTGTTGGAGGAAAATATGTCGGCTTCCACGCCGTTGAGGGACAGAGAGGGACGGGAGCAGAGTTTGAAAGTAGGATGCACAATGTACGAGCAGGGTCAGGAAGAGGAAGCAGAAAATGGCAAAAATGAGACATCTTTGCTTTGCAACCAATCGCAGACTGAAGGGACGATTACTGCCTGTCATATTACTCGAGAGGGTCCTGTGGGTGGTGAGTGGGACCCTTCAGACAGTCCTGAGAATGATAACAACAATAAACTCGACAGAGGTCTCAAAGGAATGACAGTGAAAGACTATGAAACTCTTCTAGCTCTCAGAGATCATTCCTGCATTTTGAGTTCAGCCTTCCAGCTCCTGTCGACACCGCCAAAGAACGGCCACTGCTCATCTCCCTCATGTGCTTTTACCTCACAGACAGAGGTGGCACAGAAGATACTCCTACCAGGGCCTTTGAATGAGGCTTTGGAGCTTCTACAGGCCATGCTCTTGGCTTTTATTGGGAGGGTGGAGACGCTTCTAACGGGAGATTTACTCTCTGTTCAGAAGGACGGACGTGCTCGGGATTCCTACACTTTCTCCTTCCTTTCTGGAGACTGTGCAGATCACAATCAAAGTGAGCAGGAATGTGTAGAAGACCTCCGCACCACAGAGGTAAAGGAGAGAGAAAAACAAACGAGACAAGCAACCTCCTTCCAACGGGACCTCATCCACAGCAGCAGGGACCCAAAAATGCGACTTTCCCTGCAGATTCTGTGGATCCTCCATCAGTGGTGTCAAGTTAAAGGACCCGGGCTGGAGCGAAAAGAGGTAAAAGTAAAGCAAATTGTGTTTTTTTTTAATGCTACATATCTTGAATATCCAAATATATGTGTGGTTTTCATTCAGGGTAAAGACAAAACCTTGTCTGTGCTGCGGGGGTTGCTGCAAGACCTTGGCGCAGAGCTTCGGGATGAGCGGATTGAATTCAACAGTGAGGCCAAGGCCAGGCAGGACAAGGCAGATGAGGTAAGGATGGTGTTTACCCTTCAGGCATGAGTCCCCCCGCTGTGTGTGAGGCTGTGAGATACAGCGGGGAGTCCTGCTGATGATCTGTCTCCCTGGCCACACGTCCCCCTGTCAGTTCAACAGGCATCATGAGGAGCCTCATGCCAGAGTATTTAGGCTAATCTCTTGTAGAGGCCACAGCCAAACAGGACAGGCATGTTCAAATCTGCTGCATTAAAACACTCAACTGTAAATTCTCACAGCTCCTATAACTCCACCTGCTTGGACGATAGAAAGACAGTTTTAGTGCACGTCAGATGAGAACTGTAGTCTAACATTTGTGTTGTTGCCACTGAACTGGTGGTGTGTCCTTTGTACAGCATGACTCAAGATCTGCTTTAAGGGGACGGATTTATTTCTTTAATAGTTGTTTTTTCCTCCTTACTCCACTGACTAGACTGTAATCCCTCCTTTCCTCAGAGGCACAGTTTGTTTGGCATAAAAAAATAAGACTCTACTGTACTACTGAGGCTGTATTAACCAGAGGTGTGTCCAAACTTTCCAACACTGTTTACGCAGAAATATTCAAATAAACCAGGCGATAATAACACATTTGTAACACATGCAAAAAACTGCATGGTTTTTGCCCCAAACTGCATTGGATTAGCATTTCATTCAGATATCGGTAGGTCAGAGGATAAGGGATCTCTTTGAAAATGACTGTGCCCGTTTTTTCATCGCCACAATTTAGCCTACATTTGGAGCATTTTGTTAATCTCTTTCCCAACATGCTAGCCATGACATGGTTGGTACCAATGGTTGCATTGGGTCTATCTAGTTTCATATAATACCAGTATGTTCAATCTAGTTTACAAGCAGAATCTGCTACAGCCCCTGAAAGACAGTGTGGAGTGGAAGAGGTAAGCATAATGGGCTGGCACTTGGGGGTGGCCAATCAGACAACAACAGGACCCCCTTCTGGACACGCCCCTGGTACTAACACTCCACACAGCGTACTTACAATGACAGTGCTAACATCCTGATTATTATTAGTATTAGAGTTGTTCTTATTATTGTTGACGTCAACATCAAGCCGTAATTACAACTTCTGAAAGCTGTGACAAATCTGAGTTAATTAATACTTCATAATATGGAAGCGCCAGAAAACCAATCGCAAGTCAAAGACCTCTGAATCTCCCATTTCTTTCTTCCATCCCGTATAACATCTTTAGTTAGTTTAGTGTTTTAGCATGTTAATACTTGCTAATTAGCAGAAGCTGATGGAAATATCGTTAGTTTAGTTTTGTAATTATCGTTAGGTGTTTGGTCGTTAACCAAAGACAAATAAGAATTTTGAGCCGATAATGAAACGTTAAGGAATCACTATAGTTATTATAATTCATCCTGAGGGGAACATGAATACGCGTATTAAATTTCATGGTAATATATCCAAAAGTAGATCTTTTGCTAGATAAAGAGTCACCAAAGTCAGTAGGGTTCATCATCTGGGGAACATCCATGTCTGTTTAGTTGTTGTTGTCCAATAGTTGTTGAGATAATTCAGTCTGCACCATCGTTGTGGATCTACAGGCTGACAAGTTCAGCAACTTTTATTTAGCTAATATGTTTTATCTCTTTGCTCAGGGTGCCGTCAGCAGTATCTTTCTCAATGAACGAGACTCTGGAGCTGACAGGTCAGTGTTTTCTTCAAGCCTTAACATCCCATCCATCTTATTCCTGAGATCATAATCCATGTATCACCTGCTGCTTTCACAGAACTTGCAGCTCAAAAGAGAAAAGACTTCGGAGGCAGTTTTCTCCACGTGGCTGTACGAGGAAGAACTGGTGCTATCTGACCCAGGAGGCTGCTCAGCTGGACCAAGAGGACCCCGTTAAGACGTGGGACCATCTAATCATGCCGCTTAGCTTCCCTGATCTTGACTTTGAGCAGATGTCCCTGGAAAGAAGCCACACTGCCCCGGAGAAGTCGGCCTTCCGCATCTACTACAGCCCCCCGTCAGCTCGCAGAGTCCAGCTGGCTCAGCTGAAGCAAAGCCCCGTCGCAGACAGAGAATCTGTCAACACGACCTCTCCCTGGTGCACACCGCCGACCTCCTTCTCTCCGCTCTGTCTGGGCTCATCTGCTAACCTAAGCGACGACATGAAGGAAATGACGGCCAGCTGGATGCAGACGGTTCACGGCAGTTCACAGGAGAAGAGAGGGAGACTGCAGGGCCGGTGGGTCGACGTGGCCTGCGCAGGTACTCAGACCCTCAAGAAGCCACAGATGGTGAGTGTTGGTCTGCAGACAGATGGGACACACGGGTCATTCTCTGTGAGAGGCAGTCCATCCCGAGTCCTGAGCAACTCCCTGGTCTCTGCACGCTCTCACCACATCTCCACCTCACTGGACGCGGTGCCAGGCAGAGTCGAAAGGTCCAGGGCCTCCACCTCCTCGCCTAAACTGTACCGGAGACACTCTGCATCTGGTGCATCCTCTCCCCCCTCATCCACCAATCTGTCCTCCTCCTCATCCCCATCTACTTCTAGAGATCGAGCGCTGTGGAACCTGAATCACCAAAGGGGACAGACCCACAGCTCTCTGAGCAGCGCCAAGCCTCCCAGCAAATCTGCGGGTGCCAACCGTTACGGCATGGTCACAGAGTTCCTGCGCAGGGTGAGTGGCCGGGTAGAGAAACCGGTACCGGTGTCTGGGCAGAAGACGAAGAGCGGTCTGAAGAACCTGGAACGCGTTCCAACGAGGCCTCCCGCCGCTCCGCTGCACAGGAACGACAGCGTGACGAGGATCGTCAACCAGAGGTTCATGAAGCAGAGAGAGGAGGCCGGTCGGGCCCAGAGGGAGGAGAAGGGGAGCAGCCTGAACCACGGAGTCCGACACAGCACGAGCACCGTCACAGCAGAGGTGAGTGGAGCAAACAACATGCCTGTCAGCACATGTACAGCTCTGATATCAGTAATAATTATTTCTCACAGACGACATCTTGACATGTCAAAGGAGGAAAATCAGAGATGTAAATAATAAAATCAAAGGATGGCTGAATTCCATTTAGCTTCTTGAGTTTCAGGGTCCTGGTATTGTTCATGCTGACTCACTGTGACACTGTCATGGCTCACTGGGACCAGTGTTGTACTTAATACTCCCTGCCAACAGTCATTAGTTACACTACTAGTTCTATTACTTTTCTGATACTCCCCACAAAATTGGAGCGCCTTCTCCTCCAAAATTCAAACTTACGAGCATCAAAATTCCGCCATTTTGTATGAAGCAATTCCATTTTCCAAACTAGTTTCCTCCACGACAACAAAAATAAGTTTTGATGTATTTAAGTTATGTTAAATCAACATTTTCATACTTTCCACACTATGTATTTTTTCTTACACCAATAGATAACATTTACAAAGACCGACATTAGTTTGGATACCAGCTGATTTAGCGTTACACCTCTATAACATTGTCATATCAATCAGATATCCTCTTTTTTATTTCACACATTCAAAACCCTGGGACCTACATTACCCACAATGCAACTCTACCACCAACAGTTTGGACAGGATTCAGCTGTGTTATGTTACTGGCAGCTCTACATTAGCTTCAAGCAGAGCTGAGGAGTGGACTACAGAGGTCACTTCTTTCCTACTCTACTCAGATTTTGACCTTTTCAAACTTGTAGTCTTCAACTGACACTGACTCAAGTGACATCATTTGAGGTAATTGATCAGATCTCGTACAGCTCTCTCTGGTCTTTTGTCACATATGCAGTGTTAGTACTCCCTCAGACCTGCACACTGACTTTAACAGAGTTCTGACAATCAACTATTACAGCAGCTTAATGGTCGGACATCATCTTGAATCATTTAAACTGAACATGAGCACTTAATTAATTATATAATTAATTGATTATTAAATCATTCAATTAAGAATTTTGAGTTAAACAATTTCTTGTTACGGCGTCTGAAATTTGAGGATTTGCTGCAGTTTTCCATTTTGTTGTGTTGTGAATTGAATATTTTGGTTTGATAATGTTAGAAACATAATGAGATCCAACAAACTGGTGTTTTAAAGCATTTCATTATTATTATTATTATTATTATTATTATTATTATTATTATTATTATTATTCTCTTTGTTGGTGTTTTTTTGTCTCATCTCAGTCCTCTGTCTCTTCTCTTTCTCTGATCAGGATGGAAACTATGACTGCAGCTCCAGCAGCACCTTGACCTTCTGCTTCTCTCGGCCGTCTCGCTCCAACCAGAGACAAACATCAACCCAGAGCAAACTCCAGCGCCACAGATACTCGCCTCCAGTCAGCGCAGCCGCAGACTCCAACTGTGAGTGAACGGGGAGGACAAACAGCAGTTATTCTGATATCTCTGGACAGCTGAGTGCAGTCAGAGCCACGGGGGAACGGATTTAAAATGTAATGGTTGAACTGGGAGAACTGGTAGATAATATGTGGGATGTTTAGGAAAGCTTATAGCTGTGTTTTCTTTTGGTGCAATTCATTACTCTCATCACTTTTTATAGATGGGTTTAATCTTGATTTCAACTACAAACTACAATGTAACAGATTCTTCATTCATATTTACAGTTTTAAACTTTCTGCAAATTAATTTTATATTATCTTTATGGTGTTTTGTAGAGAATAACTTCATGTTTTATTGAATAAACTTCTAATATCTGACCAACAGGCTTCCTTGTGATCTTTATTTGTCTCCATATTTGTCTTTATTTAAGCTGCAGACGTGTGTTTACTCTTCAGCTGCTTCAAGAAGCTTCAGCTGGGTGTTTTCGTTCCATGCTCAAAAAAGAAAAAGTAACTGCTAAGTAGTTAATGAGATAAGATTTCCTCGCCTGTAATGAGCAGGATCCTCTCCCTCCCTCTCTCTGATTGTGTGACTTTCACTGATAAACTGCAGCCGGCTCATCAAAGTGTCGAGCTTTGTTCTGTAACAGTTCAATACACCTGGATATTACATGTTGGTTCACAGTGTGAGATGGAAGGTTTTCTTTTAGCAGATCAGATGAAATACTTTGTCTCCTGTCGGTGGCAGCTGGCCCGGTCGTGGTCAAGGACAGGGCGACAAGTCACACAATCACACGGTGTCACGTTTCTGCTCGGCACACGTGTTCATCCTCTAGTGTTACACCGCACACACAACAATGTGGGTTACCTCCCAGTGGAGTGACTTCAATTCACCATAACCCAGTTTCACATCAGTGAAAAAGTGTTAAAAAAACACACACAGAAAGGAGACCAGTGCAGTAAACAACTTAAAATGATCTGACAAGGATAATAAATAACTCTTCTGCAGTCAGATAAAAGATGAAAAATACCAAAAAGATTTCAAAATCCACAGTAATTATATTAAACCAGACCTCCAGGGCCCCAAATGTCCCATTTGCACACCACTAAATATATAAATAACAATATTTAAAACAGTTACTGTGAACTCACAGTTAAATTGTCTGTAACATTATTAATGTCACTATGAGCTCTTACAACATATAAATGTATAAGTGTTGATTTCTACATCTAAATATATATAATATATATATATCTCTATATATTGGCTCTGGAAGAACATTTACCTCTTATACAAACATACATAAAAAATACTTCACTACAAGTAAACGTATGTAAGTATTATTAACTAAATGTATTTTTACTGCTGTAGATGTTTGAGGTTGAGCTACACTGTAACACAATAAGTTATTTAAACTGAAAGAAACTGATTACATCATTTGAAGTAACACAAATTCAAATTTTTATTTTTAACTAGGTATTTTGTTTCTCACGGCACAAACAAAAATTACAAAATTAAGTCAATGTCACTTACTGAAGATACTTGATCAAAAATGTGTTTTTAACTTACAAAATGTTGTTAGTTTTATTTAAAATCTTCCATGTAATCAGTTTGGACAAGTTGAATGAACTCATCTGGTTTTAAAGTGTAATTTTAACTACTTTATATCACAGCACAGTCTGAACTGGAAGGTTGAAGAAATATAAACAATATAGAAGAAATATAATGTGTTCAACAGAGGCTTTGAGTTTACATTACAATTAATAATCAGAAATCATTTGAGTTTTTCTTATCATTTTATATTCAGTCTTTGGGCACATGGGACTACTGTTTTTTTCTAAAATGGT